TGTTTCCTCACTCATCAGTCATGTTAAAAGCCCAGTATTAAAAGGACAGCTTTCAAGTGCAGCAAATGTCCTACAGTAGTGCTAGTGCTGATTTTAGTAACACCAATCTCTTTCTGAACCCATGCCATTAGAAGCAATTATTTAAAGCCCATCCTGCTGTAGCACATGGATGCTGGGATAGACCCATGTGGTACCAAGAAAATGAAACTTTTTCTTATCTCATGAGCCACTGACCAGGAACAGAGCGCATGGAAATATGCTCATGACAGTTGTGAGTCTCCACAACTATTGCTCAGCTCTCCATGGGGAGGAATGACTTCCTTTTCTCGATTAATCCTGACAGCAGAAGGATTGGACAGCTGCCTTGACAAATATCTTGATCATAGTGCTTAATCTTTCCTTGACAGTCTTCACAACCAATGAAACATAGCTCCTCTCTTTAAGCTTGACAAGGTCCTGGAGAGCTCAAACTAATTGGTAATGTTGAAGTTTAAAACCTTTGAAAAAGTGTTTACAGGTTACAGGGGCATATATCTAAGTACAAAATTCTTGAACACCTCTAAGACACTGTGTTATTCTGTTCTCTGCTGAGGGCAGTTGCTTTACTTCTGCTTTTGCTGACCTTCCTTTCTCTCATTTTTGCAGTGCTTGCTCAGGTCTTGTTTTTATAATTCTCCTCCTGTACTGTAGCATGACTGTGCTTGAATTTACAAGATGATATTTGGTGAATAGCTGATCTCTAACTAAGTGGGGTACTCATCCTAGTCAGCATTTTGGCTTTTAGATGAATAAAGCATGAATTTGCCTTCAAGGTTCTGTGAAATTGTGACTGCAATATTTAAGAAAACATCCTTGGCTTCTTTCAGGTCCTTTCTCCCTTTTGCCCAAAAGAGGGCACTCTATACCTGACTTTCTTTCAATTCTTTTTACTCTTTTTTTTTTTTTTTTTTTCTTCCTTACGTTCAATCATTAATTGCACAAAAGAGAGTGCCACTTTTTATTTACAGTTCAAAATACGTTGCTCTCCCTTGTTCATCTCTAATGAGAATCATTCACAAAGTAGGGAAAAGAAATCATTCACTGTAGTGCAGTGAATAATAAAGTACTTATCCCTTTTCAGTTGTTCTCCACACGTAAAAAACAGGAATTGGCTCACAATCTGACCTATAGTGCTAATGAGGAAGCAATTTCATTGGGGAAGCAGAATTTGGGCTTTCCCATGATGAAAGCATAAAATAATCCAGTCTTATGCTTTTGTGTGGCATCATGTTGGGCTTCTCTCTCTTAATCTTAGTGCTTCTTGGGACAGATGTATCATTGAATCATGGAATCAGAGTTCCAAGCTGGAAAATATCTCAAGGATCCTCTGGTCCAACATTTCTCAGCAAAAGAATGGTCTACAAAATGGGTAGGCAACCTATCTAGCTCAATTGTAAAATAATCCAGTTTTGGGGAATCCTGGAGATTATTCCAATGGCTGATTGTTTTCAATGGGAAGATTTTTCATTTTATGTCCAGTAGAAATCCCCCCATGAATGACTGGTACCCATTACCCTTTGCCTTTTCCCTGGGACTCCCTGTAAAGGATGAAGTTTCCACCCTTGTGGCCACCCTGTGAGTGTTGGAGCATGGGGACAAGATTTCCCTTAGGTCTTCTTTTCTCAGCGCTGAGCTAACCCAGGTCTCTCAGCCTCTGCTCATACAACATTTCCTGTTCTTTGGTTCTCTTTGTGGCCTTTCTCTGGACTCTCTCTGCTGTGTCCACATCTTTTTTGTATAGCAGGGACCAAAACTAAACATGTTATTAAGGCTGTGATCTGATCATTAGGGTGGGATAAGGACTTTTTTGCCTCTGCTGGTGATGACATATTGTATTACGGTTTTACCTCTATCTATCCCTAAACCTCTCTCTGTCTTTCTAATACATCATCTGTATCTGCCACATTATCTTTATCCATATTCATTTAAATATAGTTTTTCTTTGATTCAGTTTGAAGTCTTGCAGATCAAACTCTTAGAAAATCAATTAAAGGAAAAAAAAAGAGGACAACTATTTTTGTACATAGAAAGAGGAAAGTTCTTTTTACTTATTGCTTAAAAAATATCAGACCAAATGTTTAACTCCACATATTTTATCTGCTGACTTTTCTGCTTCTGAGCACCAATGCTGTCTTAATAGCTACTATTGCTCTGTTCTCAGGGTCAGGTTTAACCCACCTCTACATCTCTTCAAGCTTTCTTGATTTCCACTTAATTGTAAGTATTTTAAATCAGCTCTGAACAGGTCTTCCTGTTTTTCCATTTGATATTCTGGTAGTCAAGTCTCTTCTATGAAAAGTGCAGGTGAAACAAACCCACTTCATGTCTTCATGAAAAATAAAACTTTTGACTTCATGATAAAAAACTTTTGACTTCAGAAATAATATTTGTCAGGAAGAGATTTACACATATTTATATATGCACTTATATACACTTTAAAAAACTATTTCAAGAGCTATAAAACATATTTTTAGAACGGTAGACTCCTATATCTTTCTGCTCAGCTACCCTTACAAATTGACTGCTGATGCTTCAGTTAGAGAATCTTTACTTGGGTCTCAGTTGAAGCACTCAAGGCTTGGCAATCTCTTCAAGGAGTCTTTACTTATGCCAAAAGGATGTTGCTTCCTCAGCCCAAAGTGATTTCAGCTAAATGGAATTATATGCAAATTCATCCATAATATGGAGCGTTACCACTCACCATGTATGCAGAGTCTGCCTTTCTCTGTGGTCATAGGCCTCTCCAGATTCCCTCAAGGAATTTCAACACGGGGACAGGAGCCAATTTTTAATCTAAACTTTCTATTCCCAAGTTAAACATCCAGAGAGTGGTTGGGCATTAGAACAGGCTCCTCATAAAAGTGGTCACAGCACCAAACCTGACAGAGGTCGAGAAGTGTTTGGATGATGCTTTTGGGCACACAGAGTCACTCTTGGGGATGGTCTTGTGCACGGCTGGGATTTGGATTTGATGATCCTGATGGGTCCTTTTCAACTCAGTTTATTCTGTGATTCTGTGATCATATTTACCTGAATAGTCCTGAAACAAAGTACCTTATCCAAGGAAAAGTTTAGAAACTGATTGAGTTGAGATATTTTATGTGCATGTGCATACAAACACACACACACACACACGCACACACACACACACACACATAGAAATTATTCAAATTTGATGGTTTTTTTTTTCATGAAAGGACATTTTCTATGAGAATAAGTGCTGATTGAATAAGAAAGTAGTTGTTTAAAATGAAAGGCAAGAAAGACAAAATCTGCCCCATGGTGCAGCATAACATTTTGAAATTCTTTATGATGAGCAAAGCTTTATAAACATGGAGAAAGTGAGTAAGGGATCAAACAAGATTGTTTTCTCCATTTAAAAAGTTTTGAGAAAGATTGAATTTGTTACATTCAAATACAAGATACTAGAAATGTGAATGGAAATATATTTTAATATAGCTAGGGATAAGGAAAGATGTATGTGAAAAATGAAAGTGACATCAGTTCAAGTAAACAATGTCATTTGATTCTAAAAAATACACTGGTTTATATTAATTTAAATATATTAATGGGCTTTCATGTTGATGTAGGAAAAATAGACAGAATGAAACAGATAAAGGAATCAAGCTGGCACAGCTGTGTGTAATATTCAGAAGGCCTGGTGTTACAGTATTTAATTAAAAATATAAAAAAAAATCAATTCAAATCTCCTTTACAGAAGTTTTAAGAAGTTACAAAAGGGATTGTATCAGGCTTTTTGTGATAAAGAATACTAAATTTGTTCACCTTGGAGAATGATTCAAACCATAAGAATGAGGCTTCAGTAGGGCACATTTTGCTCAAAATTAGTCACATGATAAGTGTGACTGTTTTTCTGAAATGGAACCCTGTAGGAAAATCAGCTAGAATTACAACCTGTTAGTAATATTAACCCTGTGGGATATATTATTGGGAAAAGTGGTTTTAATAAATAATACATTTTTGTTCAAGGGACACAACACTGAAGATAAATGCTCTGAAACAGGTTATTGTGCATGTGAAAATCTTGGAAACTGGGATACTGCTAGAATAATGCAAAAAAAAAAAATCATTAAGTTTTGATCCAGCAGTCTTTTCCTGCTCTTAACACTGCTTATGGTTTAATACCATTTTACTACCACTGCCATAAGAAAAAGTTGTGTTACTCTAGATATGCCATTGCATGCAGTGTTCAATCACAGTCCTCTCACAAGTTTTCAGTTAAAATACAATAAACAGAAATAGATGTGCCTCTATTTTGTTCAGTGTAATTATATATTGTGACTAAATATGTAAGAAACAAGAAATCAGGAATACTGTATATTATTTTCACCCTGGGTGATCAAAACATTATTTAGTGCTTCTATAATTATGATGTATTAGGAAAATTTGCATTCAAACTAGCAACATCCACCTGAATGGTTAGACTAGTTGTAGTACACCGAGCTATAATAGAAACCATAATAGAGAACAGTTTAAAACATGCTAGCAGACTTTTCATTGATAATGTATTCAACTAAGTTTGTTGTTAAAAACCCATAGGTGTAAAGCACATTAAAGTGTAATTGCTCTGACAGTTCAAGGCAATTGTTACATATTACATATTAAGGCATATTTTTACTATTTACTTTTAAGATATTTATGCACCTGAGAAGCCACATCTAAAACATCATAAAAGAGGAAATTGTAAAAAAGGAGCCATAAACCTAAATGACAAAGAGAATAAGAGTTATGAGCACAGTTGGTGAGAACTGTAGTAAGTCTATAAATGGACAAAGAACTGCTGAATGTTCTCACAGACACATTTTCTACCATAGAAAGAAATCAAAATGCACTTACCCACAGACTGTTGAACACTACTGAGCTTTCACTAATTTCCTGGAACATTAATCACTTCCAAACTTTAAATTTTTAATGTGAATAGAAATGAAAGAAACAATCTCTTTCTCACAACACAGTTTGTTTACTTTTCTCAGAAATTATTCATTAGTCTGCAATTGTTTATCTAGTTCTTAAGAAACCTTCACTCAACCTTAATGACATCTCCATCTCCAATTTGAGTCAAATGAATTAGAAATTGCAAAAAAATAACTGGATTGTGAAGCTAGCAAGCTACTACCATACAATTACACGGGGAAAATCCCCCTGCTTGTACCCTCGAAGAGAGAAGAAGTAGAGACTTCAGAAAGCCTATTAGGGACTAGATTGTGGTTATTGATTTTACATAGAAAGCAATCACATTCAATAGTAAATCCCCTTCAGAGATAATTCTATTTTGAAGAGCAGACAAGTCTAATTGTTGAAACACACATCTCTTGTCTACCTTTAGCATGTAGCACAATCACATTCGCTGCTTAATTAATGAAGGCTGGCTTAGAGCAAAGTCCAAGGAATTCAGAGACTTCAGTTTTGGTGTGAATCACAAACAGATTCAGAGAAAAGCCACACACAGTATCATGATCATTCACAAACTTGCTGAAAGATTTCTGCCTGCTAGATTGGGATTTGCGCATTTAAAACACACAGAAGTTCCCAGAGAAACTTGTCTTTTCTCTCTTCCCTTCAGGCACAGAGAGGTTCTCTTGAAAACCTTGTGGTTGGCAATCATGGGTAGCCAATGCATATGCAGAAATGCCCAGGAAGAGCATTCCTGATGTATGGTTTTTGCAATTGAATCTCAGAAGGTGGAATGGTGTAAATGGACATTTTCCTTCTGAAGACAAGTGAACTGGAGTAAAATTCTGCCAAAATACATGCATATGTCCTGAAGACTCAGGTGAAGAGCAGTGGGAAAAAAACAGCTCTCCATCTAGCTGGAATTGGGCCTTCTTTACATAAGCTGAAAATGAGAGAAGAAAAAGTTAAAGGAGGTTGTCTGTTGCTCAGAGGAAGGATAGCCAAGTGTGGTCCCACAGAACAGGCTGTCCTTGCCTAATTCCCACAGCTAGTGTCACAAAAAAGCCTACACACTCTATGCAGCAAGACTGAAAATCCCAGTTCTCATCACTTGGTATAAGTGAGACCCACTCTTACTTCTGGCCATGACTTGCCCCACGCATGACTTACCTCATTGGGAATGCATGTCTTCTGTGGATCTGCTAGTGTGTTACCTCTCCTCATATTTCTCCTCAGCCACTTCTCTGTAGCTGAGAATATCTAAACCCCATGTCTTAAAGCTGGCTGGCTGAATACCAGTTTCTGTAGCCTGTCACTTTCTCACAATATATGCAGTTCTGAAGATTCAAGGGTACACTGGACAAATTGCAAATGTAATTTAAGTCTAAACATTTTCTGCTAGCCCTGCTCTCTAATGATGCCAGTTAGTTTTTTGTTCAGTGCCCTTTAGTATAGCCATACACCAAGTGCTTCCTTGTATGAAGCACTGAAATGAAAAAATCCATCTTGTAATATCAGCAACAGAGAGGTGACCAATATAGGAGGAAATGAAGTATTGTTTCTGGAGCACAGCAATTTTTGAAAACTGTTCTTGGCCTGCTGATTACCAATTGCTTGCTGACTTCAGAAGTACTGCAGCAGACTTGAACAAACTTGTACATCGCAACAAAAAGTTTTTGTCTCCTTTAAAAAATATTCTTGATTTTACTTTGGCATTTGTTGTGAATCAAAATCTCATTGATCTGCTCATGACTTGCATCAGTTTATTCATTGGCTCATTACACAACTGGTTTTGGAGATGCAACTTCATCTTCGTCAGAGGAAAAGGGGACTTGTTTTAATTGATCCAAACGTTAGTAAAAAGCAAGACAGGAAGATAAGATTTCTTTTGTTTTATTAGAAAAGTGTAGTGTTCCCTTATTGATAATAAAATTTTAATGAAAAGAAATTAGCAAAAGAAATAATTTTCAATAAAGGAAGTAATGTTCTCTTAAGTCATACTTGATAACTCCACAGAACTGTGTTTTATATTCAGTATTAAACGCTATGACAAAGAAATTACAGAAGTTCTGCCAGGCATAATATGATTTATTCATCATGAACATGCAACGGTGACTGGTAGTATCTCTTCTGTGACAAGACTAAAATTAAACTCAGGACTTTCAGCAGATAAAAATACCAAAGCACTATGAGCCATGAAGATCTCTGTTGGATCTTAACTCTGATGGTAATTAACATCCTGTGATGCAAGTCATGCTTTATTTCAAGGTTTCATTTGTAAGTGTTGTACAAATTAATAATAAATAGACCTTTCAATTAGCGTTTTATCAGTTTCTAATGCTTTCTAGAATGATAGACTGTCTATAATAATGTTTTATTGGACTCTATTGATGTGCAGTCACTATCCATGGAACACTACTGTCTGAAATAGGGAAATAATACCTATTAATCACATATTATCCATTGAGAATACATCCAATACAGACATTTGGGGTGATAATTCCTTCTGCATTGTGCTCTCCTTCAGCAAAATGCCTTTGCCAAATCTGGCAGCATCGTTTCCCTAAATCTCCTGTTGCAGGCACCCTCAATGCAGTGGTAATCCCTTCTCATTTCAAAAAGTTCATAAAGGGATGAAATTACAAATTGGTGTCTGTTTGATCAAAGGGGCTTATGTATGTAATGATGATATTAACTCTCTTAGCAATCAAAAAAACAGCCCCAAATCTCTATATGCTTTATCACTCCCCTTAGCAATAAAGATTGAGGGGAGTACTAGCAGAGTAAATGTTTTTAATTGGCTCACCCACTACCAAGAGTTTTTTTAAATGGAGCTCTATGATCAGAGGAATGAAGGAATATTGCCTTCTCTGTTGCTGATTTCCATGGTTTGAGTAGTGCAAGTTTGGAGGGAAGATTTTACTTATAAACAGCTGATGTCATCCAGGCTTGTCCACTGAAGTTTTTATACATGGACAGATAAAATAAAATATAACCAACTATCCTTCCTTGTTTCCAGAATGGTTTTAGGTTGTGGAGCAGTAAATCACTTAGTGTTTATGTGATTTTAAGTATCTTTATTTTTTCAGAAATTCTGAGCACAGTCTTATCCCACTTCCAAAGTTCTAATTCCACTCCTGCTTGGGAAATATTCCTAGTGTTATTTGGATTTGCTTATTCTATGTTTAATGTCTTGGAGAAGGAAAGAAGAATGTTAAATGTTAGCTGGCATGAAATATAACAGTTACTTATCTTGTGTTACTTTGTAGAGATAGGTTAGGAAAATAGATACTGGTTGGAAATGTCAGAGACATCTGGGAAAGAAGTTCCCAGTCTGACAGAAGAGCAGTGGCAGTGCTGGGAGGGCAGGAGCATGTCACTGATTGTGGTGGCACGCTGGCAGTGGAAGGGATGCTGGTGATGAAGATGCTCCTGAGAGCTGGAGTGAGGAGGAAGCCGTGGTGGTGTCAGCCTGTGCCACAGTCACCGTGTGCTCCTGCCCAGCCAGAGGGAGCCAAGGACCACCGAGCAGGAGACTTGCAGGGCAGCTGCAGAGAGCAAATTTTCCATGTCTTGCAGTATGATACAGCAGGTATCTGCTCCTGGTGTCTGAGGAAGTGTTAGTTACTATCCTATGTCTTAACCTAAAGCCCTGGAGACAGAAATAAAGAGTTCCTGGCTGCGGTGTGAGAAGGAGGCAGTAAATTCTGAGCTTGGTGAGTGCTGTGGGCCTTGCCAGCCTTTAGAAGGATTCTGCTTTTCACCAACAGCAGATGCTTCGACCACTTGGCTCTTCTACTGATTAGAAGAACTGAAGCCAAAATTCCCAGGACAACCCATATTTTCTTAGGTCTTCATGGATATATTGCCTCATTTTAAAATGTCCTGGTGGGTGAGGGAATGCCTTATCTAATGGAGTGGGACTGTCAGTAAATAAAAATCTAAGTTAAATGAGGATCCATGACAGGAAAGGTGAAATGAGAGCTTCTCTAATTGCAAAATAATTTCATTTTGCCACACTAATTATTGAAGTATGAGCTTCATGTAATTATACATGACTGGAAACAGCTCCAGCTAACGCTCACTACGTTTGCCCAATTAAATGTTACAGCATTGTGTTTGAATACAGCCAGTTATGCTCATTAATAAAACTGCAGGTGACAATAGACACAAAGGCCTTCTGAAAGGAAGGTTAGCATTTACTCTTCCTTTTTCTTTTGGTGCTGTGTCCTGCACATCTGTGCAGAGGAAGGACTATACAGCACAGTTCTGTACAAGATTTGCATCCTCATGTACACACAGCCTCGTGTGTGTTATCCACTGGGAAGGCCTTGCTGTCAGACAACTTTGCTTAAGTCTGTAACAGAAAAGAGAACAGGACACAGACTTTTGGAAAAATAAAAACTCCAACAAAAAACCATTAACCTGTAAGACAGAACACAATAGGAAGCAGAATGACCTGAGAAAATCTCCTGAGACTGGATGATTTCTAAATCCTTTTCTCTCCTTTCTCTGAGTCCCATGATTTTACCACTGATTTGAGAGGTCTGGAATAACTCCTTTCTACTTCTGAAACATTTTCTAATTAATTTGATGCTAACCTGTTTTTACATTATCCTATTTTTCTTCAATATTTATCTATTCTCTCAGGTCATTTATGTCTGTTTCTGACTTATATTCCAGTCCTCTTGGACAGTTTCAATGCAATTTTTTTGGTGTCTTTTATCTTTCTGTCCCCTCTGCCACTGGACTCGTCCCATGGTCTCAAAAGTGTCAGTGGCTTTCTCACAAGTCTTTTGGTAGGTATGTACACACAGAGAGGTTGCAAAAAAAGTGTTACTCTTTTAGCTTTGTTCTTTCCTTCTCTTTTCAGAGTTATGAACTTCTTTTTCTCCCCCACCTTTCTCATTTAATATAGTTCTTTTTGATATTTAGCAAGAAAGTTACTTTCTTGACCTTCATTCTTTATCTTTGAGGTTGACTGTATAGCATACATGGCCCTCAAAAATGCAGTGTTAAATATTAAAGTGATCAAATTGATTTTTCAAAGAGGAAGTCTACATTGCACATTTATTTAGCCCTCAGACCAAAGACCCATGTATGCCTTGTATTCACTTAATTAGCTACAAACTCAATGAAAGAAATGAATAGATTCTGATTCTGTGAATTCTTTGACTGGATTTAAAAAAAAAAAATATCCTGTGATGTGAAGTCTTCATATTAAGGACCAATTTTCACAGGTTTCAATCACCAACATCTATTTACACAATCTGTTTGATATTACTTGAGGAACCTGTAACTATGGGAAATTTTGTCTTGGAAAAGAAGCTGGAGGTGGCTCTGTCAAGTTAATAAGAGGTATAATAAAAGCAGTTTGTTCTGTATCATCTTGTTCTTTCAATGAGGTCTGTGCCTACTGTACTGACCCTGCACCTCTTCAGCCACACAATATTTTTAGGTGGTGATTAGAGGCTAAGGCTGGGTCAGAGACTGTAATCATGATCCTTCAGTATTACAACAATAAACTTAAGGTTAGAAGAGAGAACTTGAGAGAGACAGAGTAAAAGGGTCCTCCAGCTGCTAACCCCAACAAATAAACTAGTTTTTAGCTTGATATTCTAGGAATTGTTAAATTTAAAGTTCAGCCTATTAAAAACTTTTACTCGCTGCACTCTGTGCTGGAGACCTGGGACACAGAGGTGCTCAGCATTTCTAATCATGTGCACCTTCCCATCTCCATAGGTAATATGTGCTCTCTAATTCTGGTTACCAGTGGAATGGTGTACACAGGGGAATATGTGCTAGCAAGAACTGTAGGAATTCTGCTATAATTGGGAGAGCTGGAGAGGTGTGGGAGTCACCCACCCCAGGTGATAGGACATAAGCCAGTGCTGCTCCCAGTGAAGCCTCACTGTGTTCACAGGGAGATGTGCTCCAAGGATG